CTCTGGCCATGCTGAGGCCGTGTCCCACATACAGCAACTAGAAGGATGTGCAGCTATGACACAACTATCTACTGGGGCTTTGGGGGGAAAAATAAATAAATAAGTAAATAAAAAATCTAAAAAAGTGAATAAAATAATTTTAAGGTGCATTTCACATGCATGACTTGGGTTGATTCAAAGTGCAGAGTTAGCAAAGACAATGAGTTTGGGATCATGGCTTATTCTCCACCAGTCCATCAATAATTATTCAAAGATTTAAATTATATAAATGGAGTTCATAACATAGTGAAGGCAACTAAGTTCAAACGGATGAACAGAAGGTTAGAGATATCAGATATACCACTCTTTCCCTAACCCTAGTCTTCCGCAGGCATGAAAGGTTTTAAACTCAAAGGCTCATACATAATCAGAGCCCTTACCACTACCCTTTATGGAACGTGGAATTAATCTTGCTGCCTTATGCCTGATATTTGGTATGCCAGAGCTAGGGGTTCATTCACCTTAAGAGCACTAAAATAATTTGCATTTCCTATGACCAGGTGATTTTGATTAATTATATACAATGAGGCTCAGGAGTTATAATATATTCAGAGATTCCAAAGATAATGCCTCAATATCCTGCAGTATTTTTAACTAATTAACTAATTCAACAAATTTTTAACTAATTAACTAATTCAACAAACTCATCACTATTCTAAATGGTGAGTAAGACTAAATCACTACCTTCTGGAACTTAAAGTCAAGCAGGAGTGACAGACAATAAACAAGTAAACAAACATGCAGCATGACACCAGGTAATGATACATGAAGAAAAAGTAATGGGGATGGGGCAGGGTGGGTGAGTAGATAATTATTTTACATAGAGTGGTCAGAGGAGGCCCCTCTAAAGAGGTAACAGCCGAATAGAGACCTGAATAGTGTGAATGAAGGAACCCTGAGAAGACCTGGGGGAGGAGCATTTTCATCAGAGAGAAGAATAATTGTGGCACTACTGCTAACTGATTACACAATAACCACTCCCCATACTACCTTGTTACTAACAGAAGCTGAATTTTGCTTGTAACAGCAACGTACACAGCTCAAAATGATGAATCATTGGCAACCCCATTCTCTTTTGCCAAATACTAGCTTTCCCATTCTCCTTTGAAGCTAGAGCAGTCATGGGACATAATTCTAGTCAATGAGACACAAAACCTATTGGGAGATTCTTGGGTAAACTTTTGTTTCTTTTAAGAAATAAAAGCGGGCAAGTACAAAAGAAGAACTTGATTGTTCTACCCCCACATTCTTTCATCTGCCTTGATCTACATATGATGCCTAGAACTGAAGCAAACATCTGGTGATCATGAGGTGACAAGCATGAGTATGAAAAAGAGGAAAGGCAGGCAAGAGCCTGGTTCCTGGGTCCTTGATGACACTGTTAAGCCACTGAACCAATGCCAGAAATCTCCACCTCATGACTTCATTGGTCAGGTTCCAACTGCATTGCCAGTAAAATGTGGTTTCAAGGTCAAGATCACAAGGGTTTAACTGTAAGAAATGTTGTTAAGACCTCAAAAAGACTTAAGATGGTGTCTCACAGATCCACTTGGCTAGACAAAAAATATTCAAACTATCTTAGGATGGCCTCTTAGATCCTCTCTGCTAGATGGGAGAGCTTCTCAGCTTCTTAAGGATATTGTGCTACAGCACCTTGACTATCAGCCAAAGGTAAATAGGCGCCTGTCTCAAAAATATTTAGAGGTGTAACATTTGGTTGAGACCATAATTTGATACACAGGAAGCCCACAAAATCTTTAAGATAATCATAGCATCTTGGACTGAAAGGAACAGAGACAATTTAAAACAAAAAGAGGCTTTCGAACTCTCAACTTTCTACAGACAATACATAGGCTACAAAGCTACTCAGCTACAAATATAAGCTCTTTCTTATGGAAAAAGAAGGATTATTCAGAGGGTAAAGTGAAGCTCTGAGGGCAGAGCTGGGAGCTTCAGAATTACTATGGCCCACTAACTACTATATGCTTCACTTTCCCATTTGTCCACCTTCAGAATAAAGTGCCTATGCCAGTTTTCCTGTTCCTGACTCACTATTATACGTAGAGGACAGATAACCCGTCTCTTCAATTCACAGGTTTTAAGATTGAGATGAGCCATACTCAAGAAGCCTCATCCACCTGGATCTGATTTAGATGATGAAATTCTGTGCTTAAGCCTGAGCCTGATGCAATAATAGCATGAGACTAAGAATCTTTTTGTTTTTAAATTTTTTGTTTATTGCAGTAACATTGGTTTATAACATTGTATAAATTTCAGGTGTACATCATTATACTTCTATTTCTGCATAGATTACATCATGTTCACCACCCAAATACTAATTACAACCCATCACCACACACACGTGCCGAATTACCCCTTTCGCCCTCCTCCCTCCCACCTTCCCCTCTGGTAACCACCAATCCAATCTCTGTCTCTATGTGTTTGTTTATTGTTGTTATTATCTACTACTTAATGAAGGAAATCATACGGTATTTGACCTTCTCCCTCTGACTTATTTCACTTTGCATAATACCCTCAATGTCCATCCATGTTGTCACAAATGGCTGGATTTCATCGTTTCTTATGGCTGAGTAGTATTCCATTGTGTATATAAACCAGAGACTAAGAATCTTGTAAGTGGAGTAAGTATATTTTCCACGTGGAGAACACATGAATTACTTAGAGCTAGAGATAGTTAGTCTGTGGTGGTTAATCTCCAAGTATAGCCCCCAATGAACAACACCTTCCAAGATTCATGCCCTTATGTAGTCCCCTCCAATACTGAATCAGCACTGAGCCTGACTTGCTTTAACTAACAGAATGCAGTGCAAGTGACCCTGTGCTAGTTTGAAGTGTATGTCTCAAGTGTACCTGAAGCTTCTGTTTTTATATATATTGGAAGCCCCAAGCTGCCACATAAGTTCAGCTACCCTCCTAGAAAGGGCACATAGAGAGACCACATGAAGAGGCCACATGGGAAGGGAGAGGGACATGGGGAAGGAGAGAGAGAGAAAGAAACAGACACATCAAACGGATGTCCATGCACCCAAGTGAGCTAGCCTTACAGCTGCCCATCAAGGTGTAAGAAATATAACTGAGCCATCATGAGTGTTCCAGCCCAATCGAGCTCCAAGACGACTATAGGACCAGTCAACATCAAGTGGAGCAAAACCACTGCCCAGCCAAGCACAGTCACCCACAGAATCTTGAGAGATAATAAAATGCTTATTTTAAGCCACTAAGTTTTGGAGTGGTTTGCTGTGCGACAATAAATAACTCACCTATCAAATGAAAACTGAATATTTTGGCAGTTAGACTCAATAAAGAAATTAAAAGGCAAACTAAAAACTATGAAAATGTATGTGCCATAAATATTCAAGTGATTAATACCCTTATAATAAAAACAGCTCATGACAAAACCTAAACAGCATCACCAAGTACTCAAACAAAACAATGGACAAAGGACATGATCTGTCTACTTGTAGGGAAAATCAAAATGGCTGATAAGCACGAAAAAGCTTTAATCATTATTTAAAAAACCATAACTGCTCAAATACCATTGGTGAGAAGGTAAAGCAGTACAGTCTTTCTAGAGAGCAATTTGTCAACATCCCATTTCTAAGAATATATGATATAATCACAAATCCAAATAAATAGTTAAGTAAAAGGACATTAATTTTAAAATTAATGTCCAACAATATAGAAACTATTTAAAGAATTACTGATTATCCATACTTGAGGGTATTCTGCAACTTGCAATTTTTAAGAAAATTCAGTTAACATGCTTATAATACAATGTCAAGTTTTAAAAAGCATAATATAAAATTATATATATACATATATATAGTTTGATCCACGTTTTTAAAAATAAATAAAAGATGTATGTATATATGCATAACAAAGACTGAAAGGAAATAAAATTGTTAAATGTGGCAGTAGAATTATAACTACTTTTATTTTCTCTTTTATGCTTCTATTTTCTAAATTTTCTATGACTGTATTACTTTCACATTCAGAAAAACCAAGAATATTATTCTTTTCAAGTTACATTGGTCAGGCTATTGATCTAGGTAACTAAGAATAATTCCCCAACCAGAAATATTTAATAAAACTATATCTTTTGGAATTTGGAAAGGAATTTGGAAATGACCAAGTATCATCTACTATTCAATAAATGAGGAAATAGGTCTAGAGATTTAGGTGCCCAAGCCTGTTGAAGTATTTAGAGGCAGAGCCTTACTTAGAACTCAGATTGTTTACCCACTGCCCAGTATACATTTTTACACTGCTTCATGAGCTACCTATAAGAGTGATTCAAATAAGACATAAAGATCGAAGTAGAATAACTGTCATTTTGAGAAAGGCTTTACCTGGTGTACCTTTAAATCTACATTCAGATCGTTCTCATTTTAAACTATAAAATTATTTGTAACAGGAAGAATATATGCTATTTCCTGTAATATAAAAGTTTTATTAAAAATTTCCACTGAAATAACTGCCCATGCTTTTAAATTCCCTTTGAATTTACATCTTGTTATTGTTATTACACTTTCAGCTGAATTTTACACCAACCTATGACTTTTCCTTCAAAGGTTCTTCCCTCCTTACTTGATGAATATAAGTAGGGTAGGAATGTTTAATATACTTAGACGCACTCTCACTTGGAGACATCTGAATGCATTTTCAATTTATTTGTTTTTAATCTGTTTTTTAAATGAATTATTTTGTTTTTCCTAGTCTTATACTTCTAATATGAGGGCCGATACCTTTAGTTCTAGGTCTTCCTTTGGATCTTGGCTTTGAAAACTATCTTTTGATCTTGAGTCTGGGGAGACCAAACTTATGTTCTTCCTTCTAGCTAAGCTTAGATTGTTGCTTTGCCACCTAATTTCTGTTGGAGATGAATCTAAGTTCCTCCTCTTTATTCTACCTGGATTTATACAGATACTTTTCAACTTTACCTCTGATGGAGATGAGTCTGTTCTTAAAAGACTTGGATATCTATCTTTCAATTTTACTTCCGGTGGAAAGAATCCATTTTTCATTGTTCCATCTGGCACAGCTTCCGACTGGTGTTCCTCTAAAGGTGATGTTTTGCCATCTTCTGTTATTGTCAGGTTAGGAATTATGAGCAATGGAGCATCTGTTTGCTTTGTTGATTCATCACTTTCAGGAGCAACGGCATTTGAATTATCTTGATCTGGTTGGTTCAAAGTTGGTAGCATCAGGCCTTTCTCATCATCATTATCCAGTAACTGGAAAATATATCAATAAAACAAGCTACCAATTAATCACTACTCACTGGAAAATATTTGAAATGAGTAAAATTGGACTTAAAATCATTTGTACCCTTATCGTTTATCATAACAAGTTACCATCAATATTTGTAATTATTTTCCTTATTAAAAGAGTTGAGAAATTCTCTACTTGCCTGAAACCATGGACTACAGAATATTATCCATAAAAATGATCATACTACTTTATAAAGCAGTGGTTCTCATATATTAATATTTTATTTATATATTAATATTAATAATATCAAAAAAGACAATTGAGGGCTCTGATATTTTACTGTTATTATACTATCACCAATATATCATAAAATAAAGGAAATTTCACTAGAAAAATAGCTCAAAGAATGGTATCATAAAATAAAGGAAAGCCTGTGAAACTAAATAAATTTAGTTGTATGAAAAATTCTCTATACTGTCTTTTTTCTCTCTCTCCTTGGACTGGGGAAAACAGTATATACTGACTCTGTAAGTGGTATTTGGGAGCCACTGACCCCAGGATGGAAATCATTAAATCCTATATGTCAAGTAGTATAGAAAAATCTTTTATTCTTTATTGGTTTACATAGGAATCCATTGCTTTACAGAAGGAATATCTTCTGTAAAATTAGCTAAAAAGCAAATAATAAATGAACTCTATTTTTTATTTATTTCTATTATAAAATTTAGATTATTATTCCACAGAGAAAGAGTAAAGAATGTGGTTAGGTCTGTGGCATCCATTTCTAAGATCACTGTGCAGAACTTTATGCTTTTTTCTTACTTGTTTCCCCCTGCTCTTTGTCAACACCTTTTGTCTCCTATCTTCGTATGTATTTTTAAATGTTACTATTTTATGCTGAAACTTCTCTTTTAAGAGTGTAATTTAACTTAAATAAATCATGCAACTGTACAGATATTGCCATAACAGAAATAAACATGAAAATCTGAATAACTTCTTCAGTGCTTTTTTTCTTCCATCTATAAATACTTCTCCATTTACAAATACTGCATCCCTTTATAAAATGATGACTATTAGAAGTTCTCTTCCAAGTTCCCTTACCTCACTTGGAATAGTTTCAGCTTCCGCCTTTACAAGAGGGACATCTGTTAAGAAATTAATAGAAGTATTTTATTATACATAAGACAATCAACATTATTTATATGTATATACACTAATAAAATACTATTATAGTTTTTTCTCACCAGAAACAATGAGCAATTTAAATCAAAGCGGCTATTCAAATATAAACATTATTTAGTAAAAACAGGCTGATGAAACAGGCTGATGAATCTCTGGGAAGATGGCGGAGTGGTAAACAAACAAGTGTGGAGACAAAATGAAAATATGTATAAAGTGATAAGATTTCAGATCCATCAACATAAGACACAAAAACAGGTATAGAGTATACTTTGCTAAAAGTCAAGAGAAATAAAATAAATCCTAGATGGTCAGTGATAGAGTTGGGATTAGAAAAAGAGACTAAAATTAAGTTGTTTGTAACCAGAGAATATAGGGCCATTCAAGAGAGGCTGATTGAAGCATTTTTTCAGTTTTCCTAGGAATATAAAGAATATATATTTAGCAAGTAGAAAAGGAAAACCTAAAAGGGAGAGAGAAGGAATAAAGGATTGAGATACAAAAAAATGCATAAGTCTAGTAAAAACCAAAATTTTTTACGGTCACTATTAGCTGCATGGCTGTAGTTAGCTCATTTTTCTGAGCCTTGGTTTTCTCATATGTAAAGTAGGATAACGATAGCTTATCTTATAGGTATGATACAAGTCTATATTAGACATAGGCGGCAATGGGTTAAATGCTTGAGCTCTTCAGTCAAACAGACCCCTATCCTTAATGACCTCTGACTGGTCACCTAATCTGTTTGATCCTCAGTTTTCTCATCTGTAAAAACATGGATAAATAATAATAGCGCCCTCAACTGATTGCTGTGAGGATTGATTTGTATTATCCAAGTAAAGTGCCTAGAACACAGTGGTCAACAAACGTTAGCTGTAACTACAGGAAGCTACAGGAATACAAAAAAGAGAAAGAAGTCATTTGACTTGAAATAACTGTTTGGATAAGTGAAAAAAAGTAAAGAAAAAAAAAGAAACACAGTAACCACCAGTCAGTGAGAGAGGTTAACCTCCAATCTTCAACAGTGATATTGAAAAGGGCACTTGTGATTCTCCTACACTTAAAACTTGAATGTTTCAGCCTAGCTCTGCTAGGCTGGCTGAGCCTCAGAGGTTAGGAAATGAATACATCAAAGCCTGATGCAGCCAGGGAAGCAGAAGCAGAGAAGGAGAGAGGTAACCTTTGGCAAAGTCTTATAACAATAAATCATTATCCCACACTGCAGAATCCAATATTTTAAAGATATAGTATTATGCACGTATTTTAACTTACTTTCTAAATGAATCTTTTCACAGAGAGTTTTTTTAAGACTGCATGAACAGTACTTTTCAATTAAATATCTTACTGATAATTTGTGGTAAGTTCTCAAATTTAATGCTAATTTAATTTCCTGTCGTCCTCTCTCTCTCTCCTCCTCCCTCTTTTTCTCTCTCTCTCTCTCTCTCACACACACACACACCCACACACACACAGACCCCACTCTACATAAAAGAGATGAATAGCTCTACAGTTAACAATGTTTAACAAAAATACCTTTTCACAGATCATGGTTAAGATTTAACTTTTTTCTTGTCCTTAAAGGAGTAAAGGAGCATTAAAAAAATAAAAATAACTCTTAATCGGGTCTAAGTCTCTTCTTTGGAGTGTTATAAAGTAAATACCATATACCAAAACTATAGTGAAATGCACGTTTATTCCCCAACAAAACAATAAAATCCACTTAAAGCAAATTACTAATTTTCTTTTTGTGATACAACCACTCCTGTTTTTAATCATCTTAATAATAAACACAAAAAGTAAATTAGTTTCTTAACCTGATGTTACAGCATCTTCAGGCTTCTCTTCAAGTTGGCTTTCAAGTACCTCACTGGTATTACTTCCCTAGAACCAAAAAAAAAAAAAAAACAAAGAAAATATATCGGAGAAATGTTTAAAGAGCTAAAGCATTTTTCTCTGCCTTCATAACTTCTTTTAACACATTTTTAAAAATTTACAGAAGACAAGAAGGATACAGGTTTGTGAGAAAAGCAATCCAAGCAGTACTATTTTAAAGAGAGGTACACCTCAGCCCAGAGTTTGTGTGCCGGGGAGAGGATAGTTGCGAATTGACAGGGTATTTGAATGACAAACGTGAGAGAAAAAGATTACAAGATAAATGATGCAATACTGTAACTTCAAGGGATATAAAATGATACCCCCAGGAAATAGATTACTTTTTCACTGGAATACATCGCGGTCTATGAGTTGCAAAGTGATGTGGGTCTTTACAAAATTCCAAGAAGAATTATAAGATGGAGTATCACTGGCTCTTATAAAATACCAATCTTTCAATAAGAACCCAAAGTCCATAGTCCCTTTAATGAAGAGCACCCAAAATTTTCCCTAAAATACTAATTCTGTGTAGTAAATGCTAATCAACTTATCCTACAGCAGCACAACTCTGCCCAATTATCACAAAGTCATTGAAAAACATGAATATATCAGTATGTTATGACTACCATTTCAAGGCTCTGACATTAGCTTTATCTATCCACAGAAATCCCTAATTGCCAGGTCAAACTGTAAAGGTTAGATTGTATTTCTAAATATTAAACCTTATTTATATATCTGATAAAGGCCTACTATTCAAAATATATAAAGAACTCTTATAACTCAACAATAAAAATACAAATAACCCAATTAAAAAATTGGCCAAGAACTTGAATAAACATATATCCAAAGAAGATATACAAATGGTCAGTAAACACATGAAAAGATGCTCACATCACTGGTCATTAGAGAAATGCAAATCAAAACCGCAATGACATACCACTTCAAATCCCCTAGGATGGCTATAATTAAAACAAAAAAAAGGAAAATAAGTGTTGGAGAAGACATGGAATGCCTTATACACTGCCCGTTGAATGTAAAGTTGTGCAGCTGTTGTGGAAACAGTTTGGCAGTTCCGAAAAAGTCAAAGAAGGAATTACGGAAGGAATTAGGAAGAAGGAATTATATGATCCAGCAATTTCACTCCTAGGTATACACTCAAGACAATTAAAAACATATGTTCACACAAAAACCTGCATATGAATGTTCACAGCAGCATTCCTCATAATAGCTAAAAAGTGGAAACAACCCAAATGTCCATCAACTGACAAACAGATAAACAAAATGTGGTATATCCATACAATAGAATATTATTTGGCAATAAAAAGAAATGAAGTATTGATACATGCTACAACGGGGAGAACCCTGAAAACACTATGCTAAGTAAAAGAAGCAAGTCACAAAGGACCATATATTATCCAATTCCATTAATATGAAATGTCTAGAACGAGCAAATCTATAGAGACAGAAAGTATATTAGTTATTGCCTAGGCTGGGGGGGTATGCGAGGTTTGCAGGGTATGGGGTGTGGGGTTTCTTTTAGGGGTAATGAGAATGTTCTAAAGTTGACTGTAGTAATGGATGCACAACTCTGTCAATATACTAAAGGCCACTAAAGAATTATACACTTTAAATGGGTGAATTGTATGGTATGTGAATTATATCTCAACAAAGCTGTTAAAAAAACTAAATCTTGGGGCCGGCCCAGTGACTCAAGCAGTTAAGTCCGCGCACTCCACTGTGGCGGCCCAAGGTTCACTGGTTCGGATCCCGGGCGCGCACCGACGCACCGCTTGTTAAGCCATGCTATGGCGGCATCTCATATAAAGTAGAGGAATATGGGCACGGATGTTAGCCCAGGGCTAGTCTTCCTCAGCAAAAAAGAGGAGGATTGGCATTGGATGTTAGCTCAGGGCTGGTCCTCGTCACAAAAAACAAAAACAAAAACAAAAAAAACTAAATCTTATAAATTATCAATATTTATTATCATTATATTATTACTATCAAAATATGAAAGTGCATGAACAATGAATAGTATTTTATACATCGAGAACAAACAAGCAATAACTGATCATAACTTTTAATTTTCATAATATTTTTTAATAAAAAGTATTAAAAGATATATATGGGAGAATGTATTATGTTAATTACCTTGGATTTTTTCCTTTCCAATTTTGGGGTAAGAACTCTTTCTAAGTAGCTGGCTTTTTCTATCCATGTACTCAGATTTCTATATTCTTTTTTCATTTTTTCCAGCCTAAAGAAAGAAATCAGTTATAGATTAAAAAAGCAAGTGACAGAAGAACATATATGGCACGATTCACAGAAGAATACATACAGTATGATCCATTTATAGATAGTTCTAAGAGAGGTAAACCAACAATACATTGTTTAAGGATACAGTCAAAGGAAAAAGAATGATTACAACAAAAATCAGGGTAGCCGTTACCTGGTGAGGGTAGGGGAAAGGGATGAAATCTCATAAGGGCATACAGAACACATTTCTGATATGGTGATGTTGTATTCTTAACCTGAATTGTAAATATTTGGCAATGGTCTTAGTACCTTTATTTAAGCTATACATACATGTTTTAGAAATTATTCAATATATATTGGTCTCGTTATTTAAACTATATATACATATTTTATAAATTATTCAATACATACATGATATCTTCTGCAATAAAACAAATTAAAAAATAAGAATTTAGCTTCTAATCCAAGAAACTTCAAAAGGCTTTAATAATCTAAAGATGTAATTGACAAGAATTAAATGGAAAAAAGGGAATGTTTCCTAATTCATTTCATGAGGACACTATGATCTTGATAATAAACCCTAACAAGGACATTATGAAAAAGGAAAATAGGTCTCATCTCATTCAAGAACATAGACACAAATGTTACAAATAAAATATAATTTTAGTACAAAAAAAATCTAATAGGAGGCATCACAATCCCTGACTTCAAAATATACTACAAAGCTATAGTAATCAACACAGCATGGTACTGGTACAAAAATAGACACACAGATCAGTGGAACAGAACTGAAAGCCCAGAAATAAAACCACACATCTATGGACAGCTCATCTTTGACAAAGGAGCCAAGAACATACAACGGAGAAAGGAAAGTCTCTTCAATAAATGGTATTGGGAAAACCGGACAGCCACATGTAAAAGAATGAAAGTAGACCCTTACCTTACACCATACACAAAAATTAACTCAAAATAGATTAAAGACTTGAGGGTAAGACGTGAAACCATAAAACTCCTAGAAGAAAATATAGGCAGTACATTCTTTGACGTCAGTCTTAGCAGCATCTTTCCGAATACCATATCTACTCAGGCAAAGGAAACAAACAAAAAAATAAACAAATGGGACTACATCAGACTAAAGAGCTTCTGCAAAGCAAAGGAAACCAGGAACAAAACAAAAAGACAACCCACCAACTGGAGAAAATATTTGCAAATTGTATATCTGACAAGGGGTTAATCTCCAAAATATACAAAGAACTCATACAACTCAACAACAAAAAAACAACTAGATCAAAAGATGGGCAGAGGATACAAACAGACATTTTTCCAAAGAAGATATACAGATGGCCAACAGGCACGTGAAAAGATATTCAACATCACTAATCATTAGGGAAATGCAAATCAAAACGACCATGAGATATCACCTTACACCTGTTAGAATGGCTACAATTACCAAGAGAAAAAATAACAAATGTTGGAGAGAATATGGAGAAAAAGGAACCCTCATACACTGCTGGTGGGGATGCAAACTGGTTCAGTCACTATGGAAAACAGTATGGAGATTTCTCAAAAAATTAAAAATAGAAATATGACCCAGCTATCCCGCTACTGGGTATTTATCCAAAGAACCTGAAATCAACAATTCAAAGAGACTTATGCACCCCTATGTTCGTTGCAGCATTATTCACAATAATCAAGATGTGGAAGCAACTCAAGTGCCCATCAACTGATGAATGGATAAAGAAGATGTGGTGTTTATATATATATATATATAAATAATGTGTGTGTGTGTATATACATATATACACACACACACACACACACACACACACACACAATGGAATACTACTCAGGCACAAAAAAAGGCAAAATGGTCCCATTTGCAACAACATGGGCGGACCTTGAGGGTATGATGTTAGGCGAAATAAGCCAGACAGAGAAAGACAAACACCACATGATTTCACTCATACGTGGAAGGTAAACAAACACGTGGACAAAGAGAACAGATTAGTGGTTACCATAGGAGAAGAGGGTTGGGGGGTGGGCATAAGAGGTAAAGGGGCACATATATATGGTGACTGACAAATACTAATGTACACCTAGAATTTTACAATGTTATACACCATTATGACCTCCATAAAATAATAATTAAAAAATCCAATAGTATAGATAAAAGATAATATACTATTAATGAGTTGCATTTATCCCACGAATACAAGGATATTTTGATATTAACTTTAGAAAATATAATTTAAATACTATTTAACTGATTAAAAGAGAAAAAGCACTTAGCAAAATCCAACATCCACTCATGATTAAAAAAAAAAACTCTCTTAGAAAACTAGGAACAGAACAGAATAATTTACTTAACCTGGTATAGGATATCTAGACAAAGAAACCTATATAAATAATGCTCTTAACTACTAAATGCTAGAAGCATTGCCATTAGAGATCCTGAACAAAACAAAGATGTTCACCCTTGTCATCTATATCAGATGTTGACTGGAGCTTCTAGGTAACATAGTAAGACAAGAAAACAAAATTGAAGAGTAAGCATTGGGAATAAAGAAACAAAATTTTTGTTATTTCTAGATGATACAATTGTTCAAATAAATTCTCCCAAATGATACTACAGATAAATTATTATAAATATGAAAATTTAGCAAAAGAGGGAAATTCTGAGAAGATAAGGGCCACAAGGGTAGCATAGTTTTAGAATCTTCTCAAATCTCTACATAAAAATATTCAGAGTATCTAGGTAGCAAACCCAAAAACGTATGCACAACATTTACTACAAAATCATGTGACGAGGTATCCCTAGGAACCCCAAAACATATACATAAAACCTTCATGGTATCTGTGTGCATACGGGAGAAAGCAACAGGTATAAAAGGGGCATCTGATAGACCTGAGAAAAAGAGAACCCCCAAATGGCCAACAGGCGGTTACAGGAGAATACGGTGGGCCAATCTGAGAACAGCAGTTGACACCGGAGGGTTTTGCTCATTCCAACAGTGGGTGAGTACCAAGGATTCATGGTAACAACTAAAGGATTGGAGCAGTCTAACCACTGTGGATGCTCAAAACTGACCAGCCTGGACAAGGCCCAGAAATCTTAGAAAGCAAGTCCTATTTTTTAACCCCAAATAAAAACATAAGTGGAAGCTCTGTGAAGCTGGGAAAGTTTTCTAAACCAAGTCTCCTACAAAAATTCAGGAGAATTAATTCCATATAAAATTGAGCAAAAGAGAACTATCTGGGTGTCTTGACATGAGTACAGCCATGTTTGGCCGCTCCATTGACCTACAGCCACCAGCACAAACAGAAATACCAAGCTGCCTTCTGTGTGGTGGGAACTGGCCCTTCCCCCACAGAGAGAGTTGCAAGTTGTAACATTTCAAGGCTTTTGGAGCCCTCGTAGCACGGGATGGACTGGCCATCTGTGCCGGGCTGGGACGATAACCAAAGAGAACAATGCACGTACACAACTACTGGGCTGGGACGTTAGCCAGGGGGCTCAGTGCACATACGCCACTGATAACCATTTTGTGCATGGAAACACTAAATGCTTGCTCTGCAAACTCTGTAATTGCTTACTCTGAAAATTACTGATGGTATAAAAACTGCTGGAAACTGAGACCCGGTGAGAGTTCCACCTGTGGAAGGGACACCTTGCCCAGGACGTGTGATCCTTGCCCAGCCGCGTCGATTGACAGGACTCTCCCGGCAGTGGGGCGTGGATATTGAGTTTTTGATTTGATGTGAAGTAATTGATTTGATATGAAGTAATTGATCTGATGTGTTCTCTTTTCGGTCAACCTGGTGTTTCTCTTTCCGGTTGATTTGTGTCATTTCTCTTCAGCCGATGTGGGTGTTTTCCCTTTCCAGTCGGGCTGATGTTTTTTCCCTCTTAATATTTGACCTATTTGGATCTGTTTGCAGACTATCGCCTTTACTATCCTCTATATAATAACATATACCTTCAGTCCATTTGTTTGGAGTGCAAAGTGTCTTTTACATCTCCGATCGAATCCCCAAACCTCTCATAACACTGGGTCAATTCCAAGTACTTATAAAAAGAAAGAGAATAAAGAACAGAATAACATCCCTAAATTATGAACACATGTAAGAAAGACACACGTGAGTCAGTGAGCAGAGAGGGAGGTGACTTGCTGGGACTCATTCTGTTAGGAAGAAGGGGGTCAGGTGGTGGTGCTACTCAAGAGGAAGAAGTCACTGTGAGCTGGACAAGTTGAGGTTCTGCAGGTGGAGCTGGAGGAGCCACTTTGTTTGAATGCAGAAGTAGTTATGAGGATCCAGTTGTGTTCTATTAAGCCAAGGCATTCAAGAAATTTTTGGTTTCCAATCCAAGATGGTGGGGAGGCTCCTGAACTCATTTCCTCCCATTGACACACTGAATCTACAGTACATGCACAGCAATTCCCTCTGAAAGAAATCCAGAAACTAGTAACTCCTAGACATCAGGCAAATGAAAAAATACTCACATCAAAACAGGTGGGAAAGGCTGAGACACACTCGCACCATAAACCCCAACCCTGGCACAGCACCATACAATCAGGAGGGAACTCCCAATTCCTAGCATCTCCCTGAGGAAAGGTTTGGACCCCACATCTAGCGCCCCAACTTTCAAGACTCCCACCTGAGGAACAGACAGGTCCCCAAAACACCTAGCTCTGAAAGCTAACACAGCTTGCGGCCATGAGACCCACTAGGCTATAGCAAAAAGAAAGTTCTTAACAGTTTGCTAGGTCTTCTCATGGCTATCTGCCCAGGGCTCAGCACAGAGGGAGCAGGCAAAAAAAGCCCATCTCCCAGTCTTTCCCTGAAAGAGGCTTATTTGCATTCTTTAAAAGCTGCTGTCTGAGGGTCAGGCTCCTCCTTCTCTCTCTAGCCCAATCCAAATCACCAGTATCGCTGTGGAAGAAGCTTGTATACAGGTCTGGTGCTCCAGATTTTGTGGCTGCTGCCCCAGGGACGGGCTCC